TAACCAGTATGTCCGTCGACTAAAAAATGTGTTGCAGGTCAAATTCACCTGGAACTAAAATGTGAGCATTTCCATAGAAACCCATTTTTAAGAAGCACGCTTAATTGCATGTGAAGCATTTTGTGTTCATGTGCTTGTTGTATATGGTATGCACCATAATTATGGTGTACACTGAATTTGGTTGTCTTAATACATTGTCACATTAAGTGTTTTACGGTTGAATCCTGCAACGCTCTAATATTAAGAACCAGGTTTTGGAACAGAGCAAATGTGTGATACGGTTGAAGAGTCTCAGCAGTTTTCGTCACTCAGAACTGTTCTTGGGGCAGAATAGAGCATGTTATTTGTATTAAACAAATTCCAAGAGAATTTAGTTTCTTTGGTTCGATTCCCAGGGAATGCATGAACTGATCAAGTGCAAACCTTGAATGCAGTGTAAGATGCTTTGGATGAACACGTCTGCCAAAATGCATGAATGTCAAACGTTATAGGAAGCCTGAAACAGTTTTTCTGTAGATACTGGACTGAATGGAGCCGATGATCTTTAAGATACCTGACAGAGATGACTTTGTCCACTGTTTTCTTGGCCAGCTGGAAGCAGTGTGTTCCCAGAGAGTGATCCACCAGATCTGTGTGAGCGAGCACAGCACAGAGCCATCAGAGCGGCTCACAGGAGACACAGCGGGTGAGTTTGAGAGTTGTTACCTCTGTAGAGTTTCTTGTTGGGGTTGCAGTAGAGGTCTTTAATGGGAGAGTCTGTTTTGAGCGACTGCAGTAGAAGAGGAAAGTCCTCCGGTTCGACGCCCTGCATTAAACACAGCCGTTACTGTACAGATCTAACAGTATACACTGCTGCTCCAGAGTTTGGGATCAGTAGGATTTTTATTGTTTTTTAAAGAAGTGTCTTCTGCTCGTCAAGGCTGGATTTATTCGATCAAAAATACAGAAAAAAATAGTAATATTGTGAAATATTTTTTACAATTTAAAAATCTGTTTTCTCTGTGAATCTCTGTTAAACTGTAATGTATTTCTGTGATGCGCAGCTGTATTTTCAGCATCATTACTCCAGTCTTCAGTGTCACATGATCTTCAGAAATCATTCTAATATGCTGATTTATTATCAGTTGTGCTGCTTCATATATTTTTGGAACCTGTGATACTTTTGTCAGGATTTTTTGATGAATAAAAAGCCATTTAAGCATTTATTTTAAATACAAATCTTTTGTAACAATATACACTACCGTTCAAAAGTTTGGGGTCTGTACATTTTTTTCTTTCTTTTTTTAACAGAAATGAATACTTCTTTTCAGCAAGGATGTGCTAAACTGATACAAAGTGATAGTAAAGACTTCTATTGTTACAAAATATTTCTATTTTAAATAAATGCTGAAAATCTTCACAATTTACTGAAAACAGTATCACAGTATCCCCAAAAATATTGTGCAGCACAACTGTGTTCAACATTGATAATAATCAGAAATGTTCTTGAGCAGCTAATCAGTATATTATACTGATTTCTGAAGATCATGTGACACTGAAGACTGGAGTAATGATGCTGAAAATACAGCTGCGCATCACAGAAATAAATTACATTTTAACACATATTCACATAGAAAACAGCTGTTTTACATAGTAAAAATATTTCACAATATTACTGTTTTTTTCAGAGTTTTTGATCGCCTTGATGAGCAGAACAGACTTCTATAAAAGCATTACAAATCTTACTGATCCCAAACTTCTGAACGGCAGTGTGTATTAATTATCCTGACACATTCACAGATCTGATGCTCAGATGCATGTGTTCGCTCAGCTTTAACCAAGACCGGTTCAGACCGCACTCACTATGACAGAGATGCGAGGGTTCAGGTGTTTGATGGCAGCTGCGGTTCCGGTCAGGAGCCCACAGTGTCCACCCGCAGGCACGATGACCGCGTCCAGCTTGGGCACCTGCTCGTAGATCTCCAGACCCACTGTTCCCAGACCTGCCAGATACACGGCGCTGTCGTCCCTGCGGATGCGTGAGAGATGGATCAGACACACTCTCCCGAAGCAGAGGGTCGTGTTCAGTGCTCAGGGTTGAAGAGTCACAGGTTTGGACTCGTCTGTTTGTTCTTTTATTTGTTAGAATAACAGTGCAGTGATTGAAACTCTGTGAATCATGTAGAGATCAAAGCGGGGTAAACGTAAACGAAACCTGCTTTGTATTTCAGTTTATTCTTTGGATAGATTCCAACAGCTCATGTTATTTCACTCACTTTTTCTGATGTTAACACTTTATTTTGAGGGGTCCTTGTTGCGTGTGCTTACTGTTAAAATTACAGCATAGTTACATGCAAGTAACCGTAAGCCAAACCCTAACCATATACAGTAGCAAGTACATGTAGTTCATTAATATTTCTCAGTACTTAAATGTATAATTACACTGTAACAAGGACACATTATTTAAAATAAAGTGTAACCTTTCTGATGCACAGACAATCTAACCCATTTTTTCTAGTACTTACACTTACTTAAAGTTTGGAGTAATTCAGATTTTTAAATGTTTTTAAATGACGTCCCTTCTGCTCACAGAGGCTGCATTTATTTGATCAAAAATACAGTAAAAATGTGAAATATCATTACAATGTAAAACAGCTGTTTTCTATGTGAATCTCTGTTAAACTGTAATGTATTTCTGTGATGCGCAGCTGTATTTTCAGCATCATTACTCCAGTCTTCAGTGTCACATGATCTTCAGAAATCATTCTAATATGCTGATTTGCTGCTCAAGAAACATTTCTGATTATTATCAATGTTGAAAACAGTCGTGCTGCACAATATTTTTGTGGAAACTGATACGCTACCAAATTACTGACAAAACTACCAATGTTTTTTTTTAAAGAAATTAATACTTTTATTCATCAAGGATGCATTAAATTGATCAAAAGTGACAGTAAAGACATTTATAATGTAACAAAATGTTTCTATTTCAAATAAACGCTATTCTTTTGAACTTTCTATTCATCTGTGAATCCTGAAAAATAAAATGCATCACAGTTTTTAAAAAACCTCATCGATTTCTGAAGATCATGTGACACTGAAGACTGGAGTAATGATGCTGAAAATACAGCTGTGCATCACAGAAATACATTACAGTTTAACAGAGATTCACATAGAAAACAGCTGTTTTACATTGTAATAATATTTCACATTTTTACTGTATTTTTGATCAAATAAATGCAGCCTCGGTGAGCAGAAGACACTTCTTTCACAAACATGAACAAATCTGAATTCTTCCAAACTGTTGAGCGGTAGTGTACAGTACAGTATGCAGACTCAGGCCTCTTCTCCTCATCTGAACTGTAGATGTCACTGCAGGATTCAGAGAGTAGAAGTGAATCACATGATAAATGACAGACACAAACACAGAAGCTCCTCTTGAATGAATCCGAGGTGTCTAGATAATGAAGATGCTGTCTGTCTGTCCATGCAGAGCTCACCATCATGTCGTCTAACGTGTTTCATCTACAAGCGTCTTAATGTCTTATAGTTGCATTCATTGTAGCTCTAATCCGCTAATCTAATGCATGACGATATTAAGATATTATAAACATTAACACCATGATTTTCTGAAACTACACTATATTGCCAAAAGTATTGGAACCCCTTTCTTTAGAACAGAAAAAGGCACTTCCTAAACTGTGGCAACAAAGATGGAAACATAATTCATGTATTTAAAAATTTAATTTCCATCTCTGTTGCAACAGTTTTGGAAGTGTCAAAAATGACTGTATTCATATGTACAAGTCACTGGTTGTTGGTGATTTTTTTCTTCTTCAAGAATTGGCTAAAAGCACATCTCTTACATCTTTATTTGACCCTCTAGCACTCTCTATTCTAATTCTATTTTATCTATTTGTTTGCCTTTTTTTTATAAAAAAAAAAAAAACACTTGACCCTCTATCACTTGAACTCTATTTGTATTCTAACTGCTTATTTTTCTTTAAAAAAAAAACTCTTATACACACATATATATATATATATATATATGGATGTGTTGTATATATAAAAAAACACCTTGCTATGTGTACTGCGTTGGGTTAACTGAGACTTTTCATAGCACTTGCATATCATTGCTCTTTTGTTAGTTTTGATTGCTTCTATTGTCCTCATTTGTAAGTCACTTTGGATAAAAGCGTCTGCTAAATGACTAAATGTGATGAGTTTTTGGCTCAAGGTCCGCATTTAAAGTCACAGCAGACCAGTCAAGTTCTTCCACACTGACTCAATCAATAATTTCTTTCTGAACCTTGCCTTATACACAGAGGCATCGTCGTGTTAGAATAGAAAAGGGTCTTGTCCAAACTGTTGGTATAAAATTAGAAGCACACAATTCCCTAGAACATCATTATATGCTTAAACATTAAGGTTTGTAATCATTGAAATTACTAAAGTAGTCAAACCTGTTCATTAGAAGGGAGTGTCCCAATGATTTTGGCAATACAGTGTATGTGTATTGTGAAAAGCGCTTTACGGATAATGTGTAATTTGAGAAATAAGCATGCAGTGTGTTGATGCGCACTCACTCCTCCAGACACAGGTATCCGTTCTCTCGGGCCAGGTGTCTGGCGTGGTTGATGGAGTCTCGGGCCGTGCTGCCGTAGGAAATAACCATAGCGCCGTAGTCTCTGTACATGCGCAGGCGCGGAGGAGAGCTGTACGCCGGCATGATGACGAACACCGGGATACGCAGCTCCACCGCGTGATACGCCACCGCCATCGAGAAGTTACAGTCTGTGGCCACGATCACACCCTTCCTCTGCTGATCCTGGAGCAGCACACGGTCACACTCATGTCTGACATTATATTTCATGTGATGATAACAATATATCTGTCATGACAACTCTCGGAGATGGTAATGTACATGACAATGTTAATGTATTTGGTCTTGGCGGAATAGATCTGCTACGCTGCTGCTGCTGCAGAGCAAATACCGAGACTTGCTACTGCCAATACATCCACAACATGCTGCTGTGAGCGTGTAAGAAATACTGCTGCTGCAAATATAACATACATGAAATAACCCCATATAGCATACATGAATCACCCC